CCCGTACCCGCCTGGTGATGCCACTGCATAATTACACACATGCATGCGTGTGCATATTTATGTCTGACATCTTTACTCCCCCTCCCCATGGCAAAAATCTTGCTAAGGCAAGGCCGTTATAACTGTGGTTGAGACATTTACGACGAGCGTCTTGTTTGGTTCAGCTCATCTCCCGATACTTGATGTGACTCATAATAATTAATATGGACAGTCAATTAGACAACTGGCTTAATGACGACACGCCATCCCGCCACCCGATCTGACCTGGCCTTAGTACAACTTTAATCAAAGATAAGACATTTCGTTTTGAGGGAAACGGCGGCTTGGAATAATCGATCGGCTTTGGCTCAGGCCTGCTGGTAAGGTCAGAGTTGAAGGCCGCGATGGTTTTAGAAAACAACAGTGGATTTTCGTAATGGTTTTTTCACGGATGGCGCCTTGATCTCTTTGATGTAGGCTGAATTTCTAAGTGGTTATAGGCTAAGTTTGAAATAGTGTAGACAGGGTCTAGAATTGACAGAAGGTTCGGTATATTGAGAACTGAGTAGCTGGCTAGATTTGGTACAAGTGAAAGACTAGATCTAGATCTAGACTCTAGATCTAATCTAGATCTAGAGATCTATCATCATCATAGAGTATTCATCAGAGGACATAGACATCATGGCATGGGACTGGGCTAAGCTCAGTTGGTAGATTTTCTAAGTCGTTATGATTACTAATCATTACTGATTACTCAGTGATTACTGATTAGGCTAAAAGTCGGTAGAGTTCTAGATCTAGAATCTAGATTAGAATCTAGATCTAGGTATAGAATCTAGAAAGATGTGACGCAGTCTAGAAGTGTTGATCAGATATAGATCTAGAGTTCTAGACTAGATCTAGATCTATATCTAGAATCTAGATCTAGAATCTAGCTGATCTAGATTAGCTGTAGGAATGTAGAATATAGGTTGTAACGTCTAGACTCTAGATCTAGTTCTAAAAGTAAAGACTAGTCTAAGTCAAGAGAGCAGTGAGCCAACTATCTAGATCTAGACCTAGATATCTAGATCTAGACTGATTCTAGATTCTAGACTAATATCTGACTACGCAAGATCTATAAATCTTTATCTAGACTAGCTAGACTAAGTTAGTAAGAAGTGACTACCCTATGTCTAGAAATGACCTCAAGAGAAGACAGTATTGCATTACACTTAACAGTAGAACAGCCACCACTTGTGTAAGTCAACTTGACTGAGTCAAGTGCTTGACCATCTTATACCCCTCCAGCATTTTCCTGGTTCTATAGAAGACCAGTGGGAGTAGGCTGTTTGTGTGTGTTTTTGTTCAGTAAGCCATGTGTTGTTGTAGGGTGATGTAAAGAATTCTGCTGCTTTTTTTTTGGTTAGGTAATTAATTAGTAATTATGTGTAGGTAATTAATAATTTGTGTAGGCATATGCAAGCAGCTGGAAGTTGTGTAGGTGATCTTTTATTTTAGTAGGTCATTTTGTGTAACATCTTCCGCATGTTATGTAGGTCATCTTTAAGTTATCTAGGTCATCTTCTGTAACATCTGTAAGTTAACTAGGTCATCTTCTATAATATCACTTCTGTAATAAACTAGGTCATCTTCTGTAACATCTGCAAGTTAACTAGGTCATCTTCTATAATATCACTTCTGTAATAAACTAGGTCATCTTCTGTAACATCTTGTGTAAGTTGTATGAATTAGGTTGCACAAGTGTACTGATTGTGTTTACATTTTAAATGTCTTATTTTTCATGAATGTGTGGATACATGCATCTATTAGCTTGGTGATGGGTCAATAAAACTCCAAAATGAAACAACTGCTGCCTTTTAGTTTATTCTTGAATAGACAACAAAGGCTATGGAAGCAAATCCAAATTAAAAGGATGAAATCCAAGTCAACGGCCTACATGGTGCATAACAAGTTGACACAAGTTGAATACTTAATTGTGTTGTAGGAAATACTGTCCAATATTCAATTAAGAACAAAGAGGAAGAAGTTTAGTGATTGTCAGTTATTGATGCTGTTGTAGTTTTGCTGGCCACACCATGACAGCTTATTTAAACTTCAAGCTTCATTTGCTTGTCTATCCATCACATTTCTGATGTTGTACAAAAATCAGAATTGTAGCTCTACAGCAAAAAGTTACTTAGTTTTACAAGGTTTCAGCGGCGTTTTTTTGTTTGTTTCATACTGTTGAACAGAGCTACAAAGGTTTCTTTTTAAACAGACTGAGTTGGCTGTTGCTGTGGTAACCAGGGATAGCCCTCATTGTCTGACAGTAGGTTAGGCTAATGGATGTTGATTCAAGGCATGAGATAAGGACTTTGTTTACATTTCTCCTGCATTGGTCTGATCAACTGAAATTACAATGCAAACATTTTAAATTGAGGGTTGATGCAATTATAATTGTGCACTGGTTGCGTGTTGTTGCTGTCAGTCGATGCTAAATCCTGACAATTGGTCAGTGGGTGGTATTTTCTGTAATGTTGGTGTCACTGGTTGTTTGATTCTTACCATCACATATTAAACAGGGATGTGACTTTTCCGAATTTTAGCGGAAATCCGATTTTTCCGTTTCAGTTGCGATTTTCCTCCGCTGATTTAATTTTCGCCGAATTTTCCCGCCGACTTTCAATTTTTGTCGATTTTTTACGAAATTTAAAAAAAAATTAGGAAAAAAAACGGAAATGTCTTCTACGGAAAGGGCCAACATGCTCATTCCACTTATTCGTATTTAAATTTAAATTGGCAACTACTGTACTATTCTTAAGTCAAACGGACACTCGAATATGCGCATTTCTTTTCGATTGGTCGATTGCGCTAGGTCTCACAGTGCTAGATCAAGATTAAATGTACATTAAGTTTCGGAATTTCGGCGGACTTTCGATGTTTTCAAAGCACACTTTTTTTAGTCCAAATTTTCCGCTATTTTCAGTTTACTATTTATCAAAAACACGGGGAAAAGGTAATCTAAAATAATGCAGTTATTCAAATGAAACTGACATCTCTTAAGCCTGGTTATCTAGCTATCGATATAGCCTAATTTACCTATCGGTATTTTAACCCGCCTAAATCTAGAGTTTCTCTCTGATTCTATTTTATTTCGCAATCTGAAATTAATATTGAAATCCTTGCAAAAGGTGACTATGAGGACTAGACTAACCCGCCCCACCTCGTAGTAACGGTGGCTCTTGTGACCTCACCTTGACCCCAAGTACGTGTTCGGTACTGCTTGTGGGGAAAAAAAAATGACGTCACAGTCAATTTCAAATAGCTGTTCCTGCAATACGTATGCTTCGTAGGCCTACAGATTTAAAAAAAAATACTAAACTCAACGTGACTACGACCGTGTCTTGTTTGTGGAAGAAAAAATACGTTCAGAGGTCTTCCATTAATAACGTCACACTCGTAAGATAGTGTAACGTCATATTTTTTGTATTTTAAAAAAGTAATGTTAGAAACAACTGCCTTTTAGCCGCTATTAGAAAACTGTTGTAAGGCATTGTAATAGAGATCGAATAAAATACCCTTTGTTGGTCGACCTCAGTCAATATTTTAGAAAAAATCGATGTTTAAAAAAAAAATCAAATTAATTTCGAGGGGGGGGGGCATTTGATGGCTGAGGTGTGACGTCATTATAGGGGGGGGAGTCTGGGTTTTGTAGGAGAGAGGGGAGGTAAATATCGTCAAAAAAACGTGGATGACCCCTAACAATTTACATTTATTCCAAAAAAACATAAATATCGATATGGCTTGGCTATCAAAATGAATAACTTTGGTTCACACGTCAGACCCTTTCTAATTTTAGCTAACCTAATCCATTTCATTTTTCCATCACATGAACCTAAAACTTTCAAATTATAACTAATCTTAATCTAGGCTCTTTACAGTTGAAGACACATATTTTTTACCAATCCAATCTTTAAAAGAATATAGAGATCTAAGGCATTAGGCCCCTATTTAAAATTGAAAACAGGAGTACATCTAGAATGTACACTAGATTAGTACAGTTTAAATTAGCTTAATGGTAAAATAAAACTTAATTGCTACTTTTGTTCCATTGTAATTTTTAAAAAGTTGTTTATAAGGTAAACATTAAATTGCAATTAGACAAGACTTTCAATGTTATTTTAGAGTAACATAAACTTCTTGTATTTAAAATATTAACTTCATTAAATAATTAATTAGTACAGTAACAGTATGAAGCTGCTTAACTGCGGTATGAAGCTGCTTAACCGCGATAAAAAGTAGATAAAACATATTGAGTTATTATCCGAAGAAAATTTCCTAATTTTTTTTCCTGGTCTGGTCACATCCCTGTATTATTATTATTATTTTATTAATAATATTATTATTATTAGAGCAAGACTTTATGTTAAAGTCTTGTTATGGTTTATGACAATGCTGTGAAACTATGACCAAACAACTTCTAAACTCTGACAGCACCAACTATGATTTTACTAACAAAACATGACTGCACTTACCAACAAACACTGGTAATAGCTTAAAAATACTAAATTTAATATAAACGCAATAATAAAAAAAACTGTCAATTTGTCTGGGCTAAAGCACTCATAGCTAAAAAATCATTATAAAATTTCTGAATATTCAAAGCTTAAGATGGCAGCTTTGTTTGTATGTGCTTTTCATTTTGTTCTTTGGTGTATATTTTTTTAAATACAATTTTAGTCATCATTTCTTTAGAAGTCTGATAAACTTGATAGATGCCAGGTTTTTCTAGGAGACTTTATTTACATCGTACAAATTTGGTTATAAGTCAGTTGTGTTTTAATGATGAACATGCATAAAATGTTTCTGTCATTATCACATTTTAATGATGAGTCTTAACAGAAACTTTGAGTTACTATCAAAGGGACTTAAATGGACTATATACTAAACATTATCTAAGACACCCTTCCCCCCCCCCCCCCCCTAAAAAACAAAACAATCAACCAATGTTATATGACTGACTATTAAACCTATTTCAGGCAAGCTTGGCAAGCATTAGGAGACATGTCTAAGGAAGCAGCTATGGCTGACTTTGTCCACAAGATGGCTGAATCCTGCTCCTTGTTTGAACCTTATGTAGAGGCACACAAGGCAGAGAAGGAGGAGTCAGAGAGAAAACAGTCAGTTTTTATAGTGCTATTTACGTCATGTATTTTTTATATACTATAGGCCTACATAACTATATACAGTGTAATGAAATAGTTTGTTTTAAAAGAATTTCACAGAAAATGCACAGGGAAAACCTAATATTCTGTCGGTACTACTTTATTTTGTATTAGGCTGATTTTTTGTGTTAAGTGTTTTAACATATGTGTGTGCACATATATATGTAAATTTATACATAAATAAATACACATATGTGTATACATATAAGCAATGCTCCTTTAAGCTGCGCAGTGCGTTGTAGTTTTTATCCTGCTGCGTAGTCATTTTATAAGATACATATATCTTTTGCATAAGAACACTGAATCTAAACCTTCAATACATAGCAAGTTTTCTACTTAATCAAACTTAAGCTCTGCAAAACAAATAATTGTATTATCCTGTAATTTTGTAATATTTCTTCATTGTGTTTAACAGAAAAGAAGAAGAGGAAAAGAGGAAACAGGAAGAGGAGGAGACAAAGAAAAAAGAAGCAGAGGCTGCAGCACAGCAGGCGCTTGAGGCAGAGAAACTGAAGCAACAGGAGCAAGAGTAAGTCTGTACAGCATAGCTGGCATAAAACACATAATCACCCCCCCCCCCCCCCCCCCATTTAAATGATTAAATTAAATAATGTTTTTATACAAATGGAAATGTTAAGCTGATTGCTTCTTAAACCTTGGTCCATAAATGTTTATTCCAAAAGTTGTTCACAGTGCAGAAAGAAGTAATTTCTCAATAAATTTTTATTCTCTTTATGACTTTTTTATTTACTTATGTAGGCTACAGGTTCAATCAATTTAATATTCTCTTACTGAATTTTTTATTTACTTTTGTAGGTTACAGATTCGAGCGGCACTGAACCAACAGACACAAGTACAGTTCAGACAGTACGCAGAACAGCAGTACCCAAATAACAAAGCAATGGTAGGTTTGTTTAGTTCAGCTAGTTCAATCAGAACTACTAGATATACTACTAGGTATGAAATGTGGGACTGCTAGCCCGAAAGTCTCAAGTTTGAATCTGGGTTCAAGTCAGAATGTACTTGAGTCCACCCAGCTCTGATGGGTACCTAACTGGATGAATCAGATTTTTTATCCAGATGATAAAATAAAGAGGGGTTCGGCTTGAACGGGTACAAAAGTTATTTGTAACTATTCATCTGCCATTCTTTCAAGTTTTGTTATTGTATTGTCTTAACTAAAAACTTACCACATAAGTTTTGCTTATATCCAAATTCTTTTAAAGTAAATATTCCTCTTTTGTACTTAAACATACCATAGGTTAGAGGAAGTAGAGTTCATATTTCTTGACTTGGTATATGATGGGATTGTGTGGTCAGCACTATGCCCAGCCTCCTTTACTTTTCCTAATATGAGTCAGTTGAGCACTGTACAGCAACCATGCCATTCCATAATCCCTACCAAGCATACCACTTGCTCTATCTCAAACGGGAACAGGGCATTTCCCCCCTGTCAATTACCCCCCCCCCCCCCTGAACATTTCCCCCCTGACATTACCCCCCCGCCCAGTAGGACATTACCCCCCCCCCCCCCCCCCCCGGACAGGGATAGGTTTAGGGCTAGGATTAGGGCTAGAGTTAGGGTTAGAGCTAGGGTTAGGGTTGTGTCTAGCGTTGTTTTTGGTTAAGGTGGATGTTTAGGTTTTGGTCTTTTTCTTAAGGTTTGGATTAAAGTAGTATATAGGTATAGAATTCTAGTTAGAGTTAGGATTCTAACTTGAGAGGGGGGGGGGGGGGTAATTGACAGGGAGGTAATTGCTCCGGGGTAAATACGGGGGGGGGGGGGGGGGTAATGTCCTGTAGCCATCTCAAACGCAGAACAAATAATTAAACCCTCTTCATACCACCCAATCAACTCCTCTTTCTTCCACCCCCACCCCCACCCTCCATACAACTAAACTCCTATTTATTTGTATGTGCAAGCAAGATGAGCTGATCATACAATATCCAACAATCCAGAAACCCCCTCATCCCTCCCCATCCACACCATATAACATACAACTGAACTCCAATACATATATATTCATATATAGACATCTAACACTCCCCCCCCCCCCCCCTTCCACACACACCCAATAAAACATAAAAATAAACTGTTCTCCAACAAGACAAGGTGATCCAACACCCTCATTCCCCACTCCCCTCGCACCATCAAACAACCCCCTCCCCCATATGAGATCCAACTAAACCCCTGCTATACTCTGTGTTCCAGCAAGATGAGCTGATCATCCAACTCCAGGACCAGCACTTCCAGCAGTACATGCAGCAGGTGTACCAGCAACAGCTGCTACAGCAACAGACCACAACAGCCAACGGAGACATCACCACCAACACAACCAGCACAGAGCCAGTGAAGGCTTCCCCTATCCCAGATGGTGTCACGCCTATTTCTCCCTGTGGAGAGGATGAAGAAGGTAAAAAAAATTATTTAATTATTTTCTGATATTAATGAGTAAATATTTTATCTCTTGTAAGGGAAGCTACTCATTTTAGATTGCCTGACCATTTTTGTTTTCCAGACATGACAGATAACTCTAAATTCTTTCTTTTTCATTTTTGAGTTGTGGTTACTTCCCCTTTTTATTTACACCTGCCCAGCGGCCATAACCTCGGTGCCTAAAATTGTGCCTGCCTCCTTGTGGACCAGAAAAGATCTTAAGGAGTTTAAAGATGGCTTAAGGTCATCTAAAGAAAACGTAGTTCGTATTGGCTCTCTGGCAACAGCCACGGTGAGGGCGTTAGTTGTGTCAGTGTTTGCTTCTGGTGTTTGGGGTTCGGATCTAGCCTGTAGTCCCTAGGGGTCAGGGAGTATTGGTGGTCAGTATAAATCCTAGGTGAGAGGAGACTGTGATGATTCACATAGGAAATAAAACACAAAAAAAGTTGACGTGGCTTTATAAAACATAGCAGATAAAAAAAAAGTATAATTTTCTCTTATGAAAAATATCTTTTTCTTTGTTATGAAAAATAAAATAAATTAGTATTTTAATGGACAATACTAGAGTGTAGATACTACAGATGAACTGTGCTTAGTTTTAAAAGATGTATAATGAAAGTTAAGAAGGGTTAGGTTCTGTGTGAGTTGGTGTTCCTTCTCCCCCCCCCCCCCCCCCCCCCCCCATGTTTACACCTCTGAGCGTGCCATAGCGCTTGTTGTGTCCACTTGATGTTCACCATTACCTGCTGCACCAGCTTTAAGTGTTCCTTTTTAGTGCCTTACAGGTCGCGCAGGCCATCTTAGATAGGGCCTCACAGCGCAGGCCGTCTTAGATAGGGCCACCCTCAGCTGTTTTGGCACAACACTTGCCATACTGACTCTATTGATTAGCCCCACAGTCTCACAGAATTATTGATGTCTGGCTGCTTTCAGAATTTACAGCTAAATTCAGAGCTGATAAAAATGTCCTCAGCTGCCTAAAATGTTTTATGTCTCTTATTTTTAACAGACAAATTTACAGCTTATATATTTTTTTTCTACTGACAACAAACTATGACAAGAAACAAATGAATACTGTCTATTTTACACCCTTGTATCTTTGGATGGATAAAAGGAATCTTACTGACAATTTTATTCTTTCCACTAAATTATTTTGCTCAGGTTAACCATTAAATTTTTTAAATTTTTAGTTAAGTGCACTAAAAGATTCTTAAAGTAGTAGAAAACTACATTAAAACACAGGATATGTTGGCTATATATGATTATATGCTTATAATCCAGCATAAAATGAATTGCATCTACTTATTAAAAGATCTCCAAGCAGTTACTGATTAGCAGGTTGCTACTGACTTATTAGATGCTCAAAAAAAACCATAGTTAATTTAATTCTACTGGAAAATAAAGTATTTAGTTTAAAATATGGATAGTATATGATGAGGAATTTATCAGTATCATCATCATTGGTTCCTTAGTCTTGTATGACAATTTATTTGAGGTGAAAATAATTATGTAAAATTCTTTTTGAAAATTAATACCTGCACTTAATAAAATATGTAGTTATAATTTTCACAATTTTAATACATTATTTCAGTCACAGAACTTAATTTTTAAAATTTATTTCTTTTTTTTTGTTTAATTTAAAAATAATTTTCATCAACGTCTATGCAATAAATATATTTTCCTGGCCGCTGTTTATCATAAAACATGCAGTCTGATAAGAATATAATTTAATGTGTTATATTGTACAGTAAACATACACATTTCATTTACGGTAATTGACAATAGTCTGTAACATTTTACTGTCATAATCATAATGTATAAACATCTAATTTCACTGCCAATAAAGCAATGTAGAATTAATTTATTTGAATTCTTGATACTTAGCAAATGTTCTATTTCCTTGCAAACTGTAGGATGTGTACCTTAATCACTAGCACACTAGCATAGTGTTGTGCCACTTAGTTTAGCTGTTCAATGTTGTTTATGTTCTCTTCCCCACCCGCCACGCCCCCCCTTCTGTCGGATGAAATGTGGATGTGCGTAGAATTCTCATTGGCTGCGGCATCCATGTGGACCCGCAAAGACATAAAAGAATTCAAGGACTCGCTAGTGAAAGATAAAGAATCTGTGATAAAAATAGGCTCAGGGGAGACTGTGACGGTGAGATGGTGCTTGTGTCTTAGCTTGTTGTTGTCTGCGCTTTCTTTGTGGATAAATAGTTATTTTATCTCTATCATTGTGGATATATACCTATATATAAATATGTTAAAATAAGATTATTGTGGTTATATAAACAATAAATTATTTTAATACATTATGCTGGATATATTTACACAGTAATAATTTGAATAAATCGTAGTGAATATATACACCTTTTTTAATATTGTGGATATTTCTTACTATATACATATTTTATCAAATTTATTTTATATTCGGGTAGTATTTTTATAATTTAATTATGAATATGCATATATGCCCTACACAGGGGGGAGTGGGGAGTCTTGACGTAGTCTGTGTAGAGAATATTGCAAAAAATATTTGCTTAAGAAATTCTCTTTTAGATCTACTAGCTTTGAATAATATATACCCTGAAAATTATTTGTTTAGTTTTTAATTACTCTCAAAGTAAATTACTTGTGTGTGGCATTTTTTAAATTATAATCTATTTAGCATAACTTTGTTTTAAAAATGTGAATTAAAAAACAGGTTAAAGATAAGAATTTTTGTAGATCTACCTAGGTTCTCATGTTGGTAGAATAAATTTAGGCATTACCTTTTATTTAGTAACTAGCTTAGGTGTAGTCTATGATCATTAGAGCTAACCAAACAGGTGTGTCTGTACAGGTGAGAGTTCCAACCCATGAAGATGGCACCTGCCTGTTCTGGGAGTTCGCCACAGACTACTACGACATTGGGTTTGGTGTGTACTTTGAGTGGAGCGTCTCCCAGACCAACACAGTCAGCGTGCATGTCAGCGAGTCCAGTGACGAGGAGGATGAGGAGGAAGAGGGCGCCACCAAGACAGAAGGTGAGTGGTCATTGGCTCTCTACACTTTTGAGGTTCATAAGGTCTGTACAGGGGTGGACTGGTTGTCTCCAAGTGGACAAAAGAAAATTTTCATTGCGCAAATTATTTTATGTTCTTAAATACAGGGAAAAGAAAGTATTGCGCAATATTTTTTTAATCAACGCAATAAATACTAGTCTAAATAGGCCTAATACGGGGCCGGTCTTTTCTGCCCGTCAGGATTTTTTCCAGTGTCCCAGTAGTCCAGTCCAACCTGGGTCTGTAGCTTAAGGTCATTATGTAGGCAGATGTGAGGTTAGATTTAAAAGCAAAGTACCTTTTTTGAGCCTGATGGTCCACGAGGCAAATGAAGTAGAGTTCACCTGTTTCTATTACCTCGGCAAAGAAGGGATATTGAACCTGGATTCGAAACTGCAGTCTAGTACTCTCTACTGCTAGGCCCTGCCGTCCCATAAAAATAGACTTGTATTAATACTAATAGTTTCGCTGTCTGTCTATCTATCTATCTATCTGTCTGACAAGAACGCTCTAGAGAAAACACAAGCAAATTAAAAACCTGCATAGTAATTCGAAAAACGAAGTATGACGTCGCCACATTTAGCATCTCAAGCCGGAGAGTGCACACAGTAATATGACGTCATTGATTCTCAAAAAAGGCAATTTTGTCTAATCTAAGTGGTTTGCGTGAAGAGTTTCTTGCATACAATTCTTCGGGTAGGGGCGAAGCCCCACCCCCCGCGTAAGAACGTCTGTGCCCCCCCCCCCCTCCCTAACACAAAAGAAATTTCTTCATCAATACTCTATAATAAAATTACCGCCTAATTAATGTGTCTAATCTAAAAAGTGGTTTTCTTGCAATGTCTTTAATGCAATTCTTCGGGTAGTGGCTAAGCGCGACACCAGTGTTTCTTTCAGACTTTTTCCTCCCCGGAGAGGGATGGGGGTACTTGAAATTTTCGGGGAGGGGGGCGGACACTGGAAAAAGTATATAATTATATTTCGTTGAATGGGACGGTAGACATGTTTTTTTAGGGGGGGTGGGGGGGGTGGTTTTAGTTTAGACTTTTTCCTCCCCGGAGAGGGGTGGGGGTACTTGAAATTTTCGGGGGCGGGGGGTAGAATTTTCGGGGAGGGGGGCGGACACTTGAAAAAGTATATAATTATATTTCGTTGAATGGGACGGTAGACATGTTTTTTTTGGGGGGGTGGTGTGTGTGTGTGGGGGGGGTGGTGTGTGTGTGGGGGGTGGGGGGGGGGTGTGTGGGGGGGGGGGGAGGGTGGGGTGGTTTTAGTTTAGACTTTTTCCTCCCCGGAGAGGGGTGGGGGTACTTGAAATTTTCGGGGGCGGGGGTAGAATTTTCGGGGAGGGGGCGGACACTGGAAAAAGTATATAATTATATTTCGTTGAATGGGACGGTAGACATGTTTTTTTGGGGGGGGGGGGGGGGGTGGGGGTGGGTTGGTTTTAGTTTAGAGAAAAGAGACAGCACTATCAACCTAGCGCCCGGTGTATCCTTCCTCAACGGGCCATTTTTCTCGTATGTAATAATTTTCTAAGATCATTAGAATTGCAATTCATTTGGTCAGTATGGTGTGCTTTTTTTAATACTATCATTACAATTAACTATTATTTACTGGCATTTATTTTTTAACTTAAAGTAAAAAATAACTAAACCAATAAATGTGCAAAAATTTAGTATCATTACATCATTTGTTAGTTTTTATTCCTTTTTCTATTTGACCGTTGACATTTCCACAGAAGGTAAAGCGGGTGATGTAGAGAAAGGTCCAGGCTCCAAGAAAGCTGAGAACCGGCCCCCCACAGACGAGATCATCCCTGTCTACCGCAGGGACTGTCACGAGGAGGTCTACTGTGGGAGCCACACCTACCCCGGGCAGGGCGTTTACCTCCTCAAATTCGACAATTCCTACTCGCTGTGGCGATCAAAAACACTGTACTACCGGGTGTACTACTCTAGATAAGAAGACTTGCTTTAGATGATCTGTTATGTAAGGACATGTGAATGGATGTGATAGTTTGACACTGTGGAGGAAAAAAGCCGTTGTGATGTAATAATTTTTTTTTAAACAGCCAGTTGCTGGCGACAGCTTTCATGCGATGAAGGCTGTGTGTACAGACCATGTGAGACTAGACCAATCTGTTGTGGGGCTACCGAGATGATCTCACAACTTTTAACGCTACTGATGTTCTTTGATGTTCTCTTGATTTCCCATTTCGATGAGGATTTTTTTTTTTTTTTCAATGTCCCAACCATGAAAAGTGCATCTCACTTTTTGCCTTGTCTTATCCCAAGCTTGTTGTTTTTTAGTTGTCAGTGTGGCTTTTTGTTGATTTCTGTTTTGTCAGTTCATGTACTTTTGATAGCTATAAACTTCATCTGGAGATCATTCAGTTTGTTTCTTTTAAGACACAGTGGTCATTTGTTACACACTACGGTCATTTTTTTTTTAAACTCAACACATATTTGTTACATGAAATGTTCGTTTGCTTTACATGGTCATTGCTTTGCAGGGTCGTTAAGTAAATCTGAGCTATTAAAAAAAAAATAATTATAATTTAATTTATTGGTGTAATGGATAAAATTACTCTTCCAATAATGCCTAAGTCAAAGGTTTTTTCCTAGAAGACAAATTACTAGCCAGAATGGCTGTTCTTGTTTTTAAGTGCTAATTGAAGGGGGGGGGGGGGGGGGGGGGGGTGAGATAACTAGTTTTAAGTGGGAAAACACATTAGCATTCTAGGTGTCTGGCTCAAAATATTTCAGTAATTAAATTACTTTTGTCCCCTGGAGGCGTTGGATAAATTAGTTTTGAGCCTTTTGATGCCATTGCGTATAATTCATGTTGCTGTGTGAGGTAATCGTCAAAATGTTGACATACATAAATCCTTGTCCCAATCATGGTTCCAGTGTTTGAATGATTCTGCTCAACTGATGTAAACTATCTTGTGTACACTTGGTTTTCTAACTTGTGGGATTTTTTTTAAAACTATATCTTTAGCTTGTAGCTCCACTCTGCTATGATGATCACCTGTTGTAGATGGTGCTGTGTTGGGTCCTAATTTTATATCACCCTGGTTTACATTTTATTGTACAGTATTTTAAGACCTTAGTGCTAAAAAGTACTTAAGTCTCAAAAACATTTAAAAAAATAAACGAGTTAAATTTTTTTAAAAATTAATTAAACAATTTTTTTTTAAAGCGTCACTTAAATTCTTCATTATTAAAATTTGTACATAAGGTGAAGTTATGCTAGAGCAGGGGTCTCCAAACTACGGCCCGCGGGCCGCATCCGGCCCGCGATGTCCTCTCATCCGGCCCGCGGAGATTTTTTGTCCACGGAAAAAAACGTTTGTTGGTGATGGCCGAGGAACTTTGCCCAGAAAAATTAAAGACATTTCTGGAAGAAACTGGCCCCCGAACTGTAATTTGATAGTTAATGCGGCCCTCGGACTGAAAAGTTTGGAGACCCCCTGTGCTAGAGGAATAATAACCCCTTGCTTAGTTTAATTTGCACAGAAATTTGACTTAAGTACTGTTAGCACTAGGCTCTTTATTTTCTCTATCATCCTTACTTAACCTTTGTTTTATTTTTGAAACTTGTGTTTAAAGTACTAGTACAGTCAAATCTATGACATGATGTTTTTTTTTTTATACTGCCAATTAAAAGGAAGTGTTATATACCATAGGTTGTCACATAAGAATATTTATAAAATATTTATATTTCAAGTGTCGAATATGTGAACAAATTAGCATAATATGTCAATGTGTTTATAATATACTGTTGGCTTTAGTGGCAATAACAATTGTATAATTTGTTTCTGGTAAAATACATTTTGTTTTTTTATTCAACCATCTAAAAAAACGTAGAACTTCTTTATGGAACAAAAATTTAAGGAAATAACTATGATAGAGAACAAAAAGTGCCATTTTTTGTTCATTGGATGTTTTTATTGTTTAGCACATTTTTATTTGTATTCAAAACTGGTATGCACTGTAGTGAGAGCTATTCTTTCTGGATTTAATCCTCTGTTGTTACAAAAAAAAAAATTATATATTCTTAGAGAAAATATCTTGTAATAACTTTATTTATTCTATCAATTGAATCATCAAATAAAGTCATAAAAATAAAAATATTTTCATTATTGGAAATTGTTTGTTATGGATATAGTTTGTATAGTTATTTCAGTGCTGTAGAACATTTGTTATATAGTTAATGTGTTTCAAAGTAAGCTTGATGGTTTCATTTTCGAGTACGTTTTTTCACTGGTAGACCATATTTAGTAATTACTAAGTAATTAGTAAATAAACTATAATTAAGTAAATAAATGATAAAGGTCCATTGACAACAAAGGCAGCGCCCCCTTTATATGAAACAATGTCTGATAACATTCTTCCAACAGACGTTGCTGAATTTTTTCAACTTAGTACAACTGGATTTATTGGGGGGCGAGTGGCTCCCCCCCTCCCCTTCCCAGCAGCCATTGTTTAGATAATCGGGTAGGTGCTGGATAAAAATCTTCTTAATCAATTTATTTATTTATGTGTATCTGTTAGGGTATTTAAAGTAAAGGAACATATTGGCATGCATCATTGTGGCTTCTGAAAGTATGGTTGCCATGCCAAGGGTGTTTCAAAAACCAACATATATAATCATTGATCCTTCTTTTATTAATAACTGAAATAGCTGGCTAGTTTTTGTAAAAGAACACACTGTACAAATATTTTTTTCGAAGTTTTGTATGGTGAAATACCATTAAAATTAATGCTAA